TCGGGACCAATTTGCGACGGGGCTGTGGTTGGTGCCGGGGCAGAACGGGGATGTTACCAAAACGCGCAGGGGAAGAAACGACTGCACAAACCACTTTCGGGAATGAGTGCACATTGAATTTGAGCCCACCCCTCCTGGGGAGGGAACCATGCTGCCTTACCTTCGACCCAGGCGATGTTAGGTGATTATTGTCTCGTCCAAGCTTGGCGTTGGATGTCCCTTCGGGGCTGGGTCCATCTGACAGATCCAACTGCCATAAGTTCGGTAAACCTGAGGTTGGGGTAATCCTGGGGCCTGCACTACCCCTTTACGGTCTCCCGAGATCGTAAAAGAAGCGCCCCCAAGTCGGGTGGGGCTAGGACGACGGTAGTAAAGCCTTTCCAGAACGTTCAGGAACGCTCTCAGAGCGTTCCGGAACGCTCCGAGAAGGCCGCGGCGCCCGAGACATCCTCCAGCGCCGCCGGATCTTAGAGATTCTCGTTTTACCCTCACCCGATTTTATCCTCGTCCCGTCTTCGTCTTACCAAGAGATGATTTGAGGACGCGTAATGGTGGGGCGACGAATTGTGGGGCAGCGAGGGCTGCAGAACAGGAGCTCTTCAGGGCCCTTGAAGGGCCCTTGTAGGGCTGGAAACCGCCGTATCCACCCCCAGAGGGCAGACCAGAGTAAGAAAGGGTCCGATACTGCTATCCTCCCGTCGTTTTCCCTTTTTGGGGGCCTCCTGGGAGGCTCTCGTCGCCACTGCTGGTCTCTCTTTTCGAAGTTCTGGTCAGAACGCGCCCTGCAAGAGGTCCGTGGAGCAGCGGTGTCGGTGCCTTCTGGGGAGAGAGCTCGCCGAGGCGGGCGCCACGCTCCTCTCCACGCCTCCTCGGCTCCTCCGATGCCCTTCTCGCCTTCTGCTGGACGCTCTCCTCCTGAAATCGGCAGGGGGTTGCGCAGGGGGGACAGAGGATTGAGGAAGACGGACGAGGCGTGAGGGGGTCAAGGATGGACAGAGGCCAGCAGGAGGCGGGTATGCCACATGATAATGATGTTGACGACGATGATGATGGTGATGCGATGCCGATGCCAGAGGCGGTGGCGATGGTGATTACGATGATGCTGATGGTGATGGTAGTGGTGACGATGATGTGGATGATGATGGTGGTGGTGACGATGACGATGATGGTGACGTTGATGATGCTGATGATGAGCCTGAGGATGCTTATGATGCTTATGATGATGGTGATGGTGATGATGATAATGGTGGTGGTGGTGATGATGATGCTTGTACTTGTAATGATACTGATGATGATGGTGGTGATAATGATAATGCAGGTGATGATGATGATGATGATGATGATGATGATGATGATGATGATGATGATGATGATGATGGTGATTCAGATTGTGGTGACGGTGATGACGTCGATGATGATGAGGAAGAGGATTGTGATGGGGATGTTGAGGATGATGAGTAATCTGATGAAGTGGAAGAGAAGGAGGAGGACGATGATGAAGAAGATGACGATGTTGAGCAGAAGGAGGAGGGGGAGGAGCTGGAGCAGGCGGAGGATAACGAACTGGTCAGCCGTAAGTGCGAGGACGATGAGGATGAGGAGGCGCATTGGAAACTATGAGGATCAGCGAGAGAAGGACAATGACAATGATTGGGATGAGGACCAGAAGGATTAGCCAGAGCAGGTGGATGAGGGGGAGGATCGGGAGGATGGCAGCGATGAGGAGGAGAAGGAGGAGGAGGAGGAGGGAGGAGGAAGAAGGAGAGGAGGAGGAGGAGGAGGATCCAGAGAACGAGGAGAAGAGGGAGGGTGTGGCTCGGGGAGGGGAGAAGAGGGAGGCAGAGGATGACGTGATGCAAGGGCAGCATTTCGGTGCGGAGCGTGGGAACGCGGGGGTAGGAGGAAGGCCGAGGTCGAGGTGGAGTGGGGAGGAGGGGGCAGGGCCGATCTTGAGAAGAGCCTCGACCCCTGGGCGTCTTCTGCAGGAGAGGCGACATAGACCCTCCCAACGACCCTCCTCTAAGGTACCCTCAAACATCGCTCCTCCTCCTCCTCCTCCTCCTCTTCCTCCTCTTCGGTCAATGCTTAGCATGGTGAAGTCTCATTCCCATCACTCGGGAAGCTGGCAATGCTCAGGCCAGCAACGAGAAGTGTCTCTGGACGGAAACGTCGAGTGATACGATCGTCGTGCTTGCCCTATCGGTGCCGACCAAGGAAGCAGGCTGAATCATGCTCGGGGCGGGGGGGGAGGGGTAGGGGGGGCATTTTCGTGGTGCACAGATTCGGAGACGTGGTGCTGGCACAGGCACACCGCGCACAGGTTGTGATGCCAAGGGTGTCAATTGGATGCAGTACCAACAACTTGGCAACGCTCGGACGTGTGCATCTTTCTCGGCGGGGATCATTGAAGAGCATCCTTGATCATCCTGCGGAAAAAACGCACGAAACCGCCAAATGCACAGGGAATGGACGTCTGAGCGATGGGATGGCAAGACAATCGATTGTAAGGGGTTCTGGGTCCGATCAGCCTGGCCCGTCAATCGTTGAGATGGAGCACCACCTCGACGCGACGGTACGAGCCCCAAGGCGGGAACGTCGCGGTGCCTCGTTCGTCAGGATGTTCCGAAGCCCACCGTCGCCCTGGACTACAAGTACGCGCGTCACACAGTGGAAGGGTCTGCTTCCAAGGCTCGCGCTTGCTCGCCAGACGGGCTAGTTGTTTGCACTGCCGCGCCCTTTCCAGTAAACTGATCCAGGCTGAGTGAGAGAGGGAGGAGGCAGACGAGGACAACGACGACGAGGAGGGCGAGGAGGACTAGGAGGACGACGACGAGGACGAGGAGGAGGAGCAGCAGGCAGGCGGGGATGAGAAACCCACCTCCTCGTAAAGTCATAGCGGAAGGTGCCTGGCAGCGTTGGAAACGAGAGACTCTCACCTTGTAGTAGAGTATTTCCTTATCCAGTTGCTTGCGGCAACGCCGGCTACCGTGCCTGTGCAACAGCGCAGGCGTGGCAGAAAGGGGCTTCAATCTTAAGAAAGCTTAATTCAGCCGAGCGGCTTGACCTGAGGAAGGTGGGCGAGTTCACGCCCCCCGGCAGCCCAGCGAGGCACGACGATCCATCGTGAATTTGGGCCGCCTTTAGGGCCTGTTCTGTCGTCTTGAGGCCATCTTGGGGCCCTCTTGGATTGTTTGCAGGCCTTCTTGGAGCGAGATTGGCTGTCTTGGGGCGTTTTTTTTTCCGGTTTGGATTTTATTGAGGCGCGTTGTTAAGTTGTTTGGGACGTTCTCAAGTTGTTTTTTAAGATGATTGTGGCTTTTATTCCCTACCTAGGCTCTGCCTAGAAGGGTTCTTACTCCGGTGGCTTAAAGGGGCCAGGCAGCGGAAATCGCCCCGGGCGGTTCCCCCAGTCCCCTGGGAGCCAAGCAAAAGCAACAGCAAAGGTAAAAGCAAACGCGCGGTTCCCCCAGTTGCCCTCCCTGGGTGCCAAGCAAAAGCAAAAGCAAAAGCGAAGGCAACAGCGAAGGCAAAGCAAACACATAGCATAGCATAGCATAGCATAGCGCAGCATAGCATAGCGCAGCATAGCATAGCATAGCATTGCATTGCCCAGCATAGCATTGCGCAGCATAGCATAGCAGAGCATAACATAACATACCATAGCATAGCATAGCGCAGCACAGCATAGCATAGCATAGCGCAGCACAGCATCCACTCTTGTTGCTGCTATACATATATATATGTGTGTGCTTATGTGTGTGTGTGTGTGCGCACGTATGTTCCATACATGTTGTCCGTCTGTGGGCCATCTTGAGCCCTTAGTGGGGCAGCTTGGGCCCTTAGGATTCACGGCGGAGGAGGAGGACGGCGTTTACCGTTCCTACTAATGTTGCTTTCCTAGAGGCTCCAATTCCTAGGTAGGGTCGCATTGGGATAATTCATTATGCTTGCCGTGTTAGCTGTTTTGGTCCGCTCTGGGGGGCTATTTTGACCCCCTTCGGGTGTGTTCGTTTTCCCCAACCATGCTGTGGTGTTGGGTCCTCGTTTTGAAGAGGCGGTCCCCGCGTTCCTCTTCTCCTCTTCTCCTCTCCTCCTCCTCCCCCTCCTCCCGCTCCTCCCCTCCCTCCTCCTTCTTCCACCACCCAGCACAGCGCTTCGTGGCCCCATGGGGAGCTCCACCGAAACCCCCAGTGGGACCTCCCGCATGCGTAGGCCACCACCCAGCACAGCCCTTGCTCCCTGCGTTGCGCCCACCCAGTACAGCGTTTCGTGGCCCCAGAAGGAGCTCCACGGAAGGTCCCAGTGGCACCGCCAGCATGCGTCCGCCACCACCCAACACGGCCCTTGCTCCCTGCGTTTCACCCACCAGTACAGCGATTCGTGGCCCCATGAGGGGGCTCCACCGAAGGTCCCAGTGGCACCGCCCGCATGCGTCCGCCACCACCCAGCACAGCCCTTGCTCCCTGCGTTTCACCCACCCAGTACAGCGTTTCGTGGCCCCAGAAGGGGGCTCCACCGGAGGTCCCAGTGGCACCGCCCGCATGCGTCCGCCACCACCCAGCACAGCCCTTGCTCCCTGCGTTTCACCCACCCAGTACAGCGTTTCGTGGCCCCAGAAGGGGGCTCCACCGAAGATCCCAGTGGCACCGCCCGCATGCGTCCGCCACCACCCAGCACAGCCCTTGCTCCCTGCGTTTCACCCACCTAGTACAGCGCTTCGTGGCCCCATAGGGAGCTCCACGGAAGGTCCCAGTGGCACCGCCGGCATGCGTCCGCCACCACCCAACACGTCCCTTTCTTCCTGCGCTTCACCCACCAGTACAGCGCTTTCGTGGCCCCAGAAGGGAACTCCACCGAAGGTCCCAGTGGCACCGCCCGATGCGTCTGCTACCACCCAGCACAGCCCTTGCTCCCTGCGATTCACCCACCCAGTTCAGCGCTTCGTGGCCCCATATGGAGCGCCACCGAAGACGATATTCACACTGGCGGTTCACAACTGCATATGGTTGGGTCCTTCGCCAGGCTAATTTGGCTGTTCGGACCCCCCTCGTGTAGCTTGCTTTCAGTCCTTTGATCATTTCGGCACATGTAAGTTGATTTGGACAGGTGCCCAACATCGGGTCCGGAAAGGGGTGGGCATTTTCGGAGGACGTAGGGGGTTGGCATAGAACAACAAACACAACAAAAGTTGATCAGGCAACAGAGGAGCATTCTAACACTCCCACTCCTTGCAGGCACGGTGGCGGATAGAATACTGTGAACATCATTCCGCCTTACAAGGGATGGCATTGGAAATCATTTTGGCGTGTACCCAATTGCGCCACAATCATTCCGCATCTAACACGTGCAATCGCCATCAGTCATGAGTCATCTTCAGGCTCGCAATCGTCTTTATCACGATCCGCCGACTGCGAAACAATTTCTGCACCTGTCGAGTAGTTTCCCTACACATTTGAAGTTTTGTGGAGATCCATGAAACCCTCCTGAGGTGCTGCGGTTGTGTGATCACTCGGCGGGCAGCACGGTCATCTACTATTAACGCTCCTTACGCCTTGCATACCTCGTCGGCTAAGTCCCGAGTGTTCCCGGCAAGGTGTTGGCGCACATCTACGACCTCAGCGGTACCTGCTTTGCCCCCTCGCGCGCCTCCTGGTCGCTGTTTGCCACCGGTTCGGAAGAGGAAGGTACGGATGGCATCGTCTGAGCATGTGCAGGACCCATAATCATGTGAATCCACATCGAAAGAGCGGCGTTTACATTCGTTGTCCATGTTGCGCTCGATGGTATCTCAGCATGAGCTGGCAGCCAGTGTTACGTTTTCCATGTCCACCCCTCGCGGACAAGTCTTCGAATCATGTCTAGTAGGATGCCAATTCCATATCACCACTCTCGCTGCGAAGACCCAGCAGAACCGCCAGCGCTCCTCGTTGTACTGCGTCGTTTGTTTCAGTCTACCCTGTGAGAACGACTTCCCAGCTGTGCTCGCGTCCCCTCAGCGTGCATCTATGCTCTACCTCTTTATCTCTCTCTCTCTCTCTCTCTTCCTCTCTCGCTCGCCGGAGGAACTGACGTCACCGCCGAGGTCCTCTCCATCCCGGTGCGGCGGCATCCCGGTCTCTGCGCTCTTCCACGCGAGCGAGCAGTCGTCACAGGAGCCGCCGATTCCAGAGGGTTCGCAAGCCCAAACGGGCCGACACCGTGGAAACAACAGGTATTCAGATTCGAGCGTCTTCCTTGCGGATCCTCTTCCATCCCTTCCCCAGCAGGGTACCAGTTGCTCGGCACACATCAGCGTACAACTTTGCCTGAACTCCTTTCCTGCCGCAGAGGGCATCTGTGCAGCATCTGTACATCGGCTATTTCGCTGCTTGGCCGGGGTCATCAGGGTCCCTGGCGTGGCGGTGGCAGTGCATGGCCGCCCCCTGCGTATGTTGCGCGGGCGGGGGTGGAGGGGGATGAAGGGGGCAGCCCAGGTGTGTGCAACCAGCGCGGGCAACCTCGTGCTCGCGGTGGTCGTGGACCTGTCCGAGCCGCACAGCGTGCTGCCCAGCCTGGAGAGGCGAGACCTTCCCCCGGGGAAAGTGGCGGCCGCGACCAAGGGGGGGGCGGGGGCGGGGAGGTCTTTCGGGACTGCAGGGGCTCAGGTGCTGCTCGTGCCTTGGCATCGATCGGACGTGTGCATTTGTTCCTCGGCGAGAACCATCGAGGACCATCCTGGACCATCGAGCAAAAAAACAAAAAGAAACACGCCCGAGACCGAACAAGTCACGGGAGATGGACGTCCGAGCGACGGCCAGGCAGTGCTCTCTCGCGAGACCCACCCCGAGGGATCCCGCCCACACCGCGGAGCGGCGCCTGCGAGGGCGTGCCCTCGTCCGCATCCCTTCCCTCGCCGCCCGAGGCGGGGGCGCGCTCGGCGGGTCGCGGCCTCTGTCGGCAGAGCGCGGAGGGCGCGAGAGAGTGAGAGGAGGGACCAGAGGGAGAGTGCGGGCAGTACTTATATCCATATCCAGAGCGTCGTGGACTTTGGGGGAAAAGGTGCCGCAACGCCGAGGCGCACTGGACATGGATAAAATCAAGCCTCTTGGGGCCAGATTTTTATCCATATCCAGTGCGTCTACGGTTGCTGGGGAAGAGAGCCCAAGAATCCAAGACGCACTGGATGTGGATATAACTATTGCCCGCAGAGAGGAGGATCCCTGGTTCCCCTTCCAGTCCTCCCGAGTCCTCGACCCGAGGAGGGTCCTCCCCGTGCTCCCCGTCCTCCCCGGTCATCGGCTCGAGCTTCGAGCATCGAGATGCCTGGACACGTCTCATCCCGTTTTGGCCTCCTGAGGCGTTGCCCCCTCGGGATTTTGCTGAAAGGGGGTATCTATCTCGAGCTCCCTTTATGGCCACCCCTGTTCGCACCGCTGGCGCCCTGCTCTTGCCTTGACCTTGCTCTCCAGCCAGGCTGCTGGTGGTCAACCCGTCGAGTGGAGTAGGGCGCATTCCTTGCCCGAGTCCAGAGCAGAGCAAGGCCTCCTCCTCGAGGCCCTGTCTGGGCCTCGAGGGGCGGCCCCCTTTGCCGCCGCGGCTGGGCGCCTTTCTTTGACAGCTTGGAGGGAGGACTGTGCCAAGGAGCGTTCCGGGGGGGGGGGCAGGTTCCCTCCGTCCTCCAGTCTCCTCTGTAGACACGAGCACTGTCTGGATCGCTTCAGGCATACAACTTTGCCTTCTGACCGCTTGACATGTTCACAGCCTCCAAGAGGTATCCCGTGACATGTTCATTGTGCCGTTGCACAGTTATTGTGCCAAGAGGATTATCTGAGTTCTCAATCGTGGAGAAAAAACGGATGTTGGCGTGGGGAGGGCACCAAACGAGCCGTGTCGGTGATCCCCCAGACCGCGGCAGCACCCTCCGACGGGCGATCTCAAGCATTTGGGCCCGAGAGGTTTGCAGGGGTGCATCCCGACGGGCCCACTGTTGCGCGCGCGCCGCGCGTCTGCGCCTGCCCTGCCGCAGGTGGCGAGGCGCGCTCGCGGCTTGAGGGGCACGCCGCCCAGGCGCGGCAGAAGTCGCAGAAGAACGACGGCTACGACATCATCATGGGAGCCCAGCGCCCGCCCTGGAAGGAAGGAGGCAAAGCAGCCAGCAGAACACGATCGCAGTCACGTTCGCAGAAAGACTTCCAGGGTGGGAAAAGGCGGCAATACCTTGTATGCAACACTTGCATTCCTTTTGGTAGCAGATGGATCTAGTGTGATCGCATTACCGATAAGGGCAAGTGTGCAAAATGTGAAACAGCGTGGGCCGACCTCAAGGCAGTTCCTGAACCGCCTGATCCTTAGGCACAGGCCTCGGTGGCCCTCCTCGCTGACCAGTACAAGGCCGCCAAAGAGGGCAACAACAAAGAGCAGTTGGATTTGTTGGGACAGGCATGCCCTCACCTTCGAGCCCCTGAGCCGAAGCCTCCTCCTGAGCCCAGGCCCTTCGAGGAACTCGAGGCGGCGGCGCAAGAGCTCCGCGTGGTCACAGCAGCAGGTGAGAAGTTACGGGGAAAAAAGGCTCCAACGCAACGCTGAAGAACAGACAGACATCCTGGAGAAGTTGGCAGACAACAGGATGTCCGAGAAAGAGGCGCAAGCAAACGGGGAATGTGTCGCGAGAAAGCCCACAGAGGACAACCACCTGCGCCTGCAGCCGCTCCTGATGACGCACCTACTCCAAAACTCTCTCCAGAAGAATTGGCATTCTTGGGAGAGCAAGAGAAGAAATAAGAGGAGGTAGCGAAAGAAGCTGCGAAGCAAGCACAGCAAACCTTGGAAGCAGCAAAAGGAGCTACCCAGGCTCGCAAGGAGGCGGCAGAGAACCTCCGCAAGTTCGCTGACAAGGCCCAGGAGTGCAAGCGCAGACGTGGCAATGAAGGACACGCAGCTGTCGGAGGATCACAAGTTCAGTCTGAAGCCGCCAAGCCTCCGGAGCCTACCACAGAGCAAGCGTGCGGGACGTGGACAAGCACCCGGAGGCCGCTACCCGTATTCGTGAGAGGACACAGGCAGTGGTGGCAGCCAAGGTGGAAGGGAAGCCATGTTCCTGACAAGGTTCCCGACAAGCGCAGGGTCGTCGTCCAAGACCCGATCTGTGAAGTCCCAGACTCCCAGGCGGACGACGACCAGCAGTACTCACGTGCATTCGTGGCGTATATTACGCAGTACAACACGTCGGCTCGTCAGTTCATCTTGGGCGAGAAGTATGACGCGGCGGGCCTTGTCGAGCACCACCTCCAGAATAATAAAGCAGCCGACGAGGCCCAGCGGTTTCAAGCGTGCGGTTGGCATTCGCAGCATAGGTGGACGGCAGCGAAAAAGACGGGGCGTTCTGCAGACGGTACTTATGGGGGAGTATGTTGGCTACGACGCTCGCATCTTCAGACAGCAGTGCGTTTGCCCACGGTCGAGGGGAACAGCACCTTTGAGTAGGAGCTGAACGACATCGCGGGGCTGCATTGGGATCTCAAAGGCGGCATTCGAATCGCGCTGTTCCTCATCTACTTGGACAGCGGGCCTGGCTTGACGGGGCCCTACGCGAACAAGTTACAACAGCTTGCGCAACTGGTAGCAAGCATTCCAACGCCCTGGATGGCTGCAGGCGATTGGAACGCCACTCCAGAAGAGTTTATGCAGTTTCCGCGGGCCGAGAAGCTAAAAGTGCTACTGGCGTGCCCGAACATAGAAGCCACGTGTTCGAATGGCAAAGGCCGCGTGTTGGACTGCATTATTTGCCCGCAGATGTCCAGGCCTTTCCTGGGGGTGTTACGGCAGTCACGAAAGTCCCTCGGAGGCCTCGCGTGGGACTTCGCACCCGTCTCGCCAGAGAGCCAGCCACTATCCAGTTTCTTTCCCCAACGCGGGCAGAGCCACAAGATTCCGCGCAGCACGGTCCATGTGGGAAAAGGCATTCAGCGAAAGCAGCGAGATCGAGAAAAAACATGCGAAGCTCACCGAGAAAAAGCCCGACAGTGCCGACCTTGAAAGGGACGGCGAGCAGAAGATACGCATACTATTATCAAGGAACGCGAAGACTTAGACAAGTTGCTGGAGCCGACCTACACCAGAGAGATACTGGCCATTGCATCGGACGAAGCTTGGCAGAGGTTACGACAGCAGGCAGAGCAGCGTGAACAGTTCGAGCCTGACACCTGCACCCAGAGCAGTTTGGCTTTCCTGTTAACAGAGATTGGCAGCACACTGTTGTGGCATGAGTACACGAAGTGGGCTTAAGCTGCAGGCCGCTCACTGGCCATTCTCCGTGGCAAAGAGGACGAGGCCAAAACAGTGCGAGGACGACATGTGACGCACCGTCTCTTACCGGCAGTCAAGCGACGTGAGCAGCATCCCCAAGAGCTTGAGCAAGCCCGACATGATCGGTGGGTTGAATTGGGACCTTTTTACGGCCATTGGAGATTTCATCCAAGCTACTTCGACGGAAGCAACTTCGTGAGCTCATTCGCCAGCAGATTGGTCAGATTGATCACCGCCCACCAAACCACAGAAACCCAACCCGAAGGCCCCTATTTGCCCTCCATTTCCAGTTGGGGGGGGGTCGGGGAACGTTGAGAAAACGCACATGAAGCTCGTGCCCCCACAACCCGAAATTCGGGTCTTCGGGTTGGGTTGGGGTGGTTTGGTAGGTAGCCAATTGAAGCGATGGAACACCCGCCGCTCTCTGCCGCCAGCACTACCCTTGCGCGGCAAGATGAGAAAGAATATTCTGGGGCTTTGGATATCATCCGCAAGACGGAGCTGGATGCCGCGCGTGCTCTCTGGCCCGAGGCGCTACCCCAAGTGGCGTAGCGCGCTGAACGACATGGCAAGGGGGCATGGTACAAAGCAAAGACCAGTATCCAGCGATGGGCAAAGCTTGCCGTGGATGGTAACATGAAAGACGCTCGCGCGTACTTGAAAACAGGCCAGAGACCTTACCCCTTCCCGAACTTTGCATCGACCCCGAAGGCAAAGGAGTCATTGCCAACTTGCAGAATGCCGTCGGGATCAGGGCTCGCCAGTGGAAATCAAGATGGACCAAGCATGATGAACATGACGAAAGCATCCAGCAGATGACCAGACTCCGCGCCTTGGCCCAAGAGGACCTACCACTACGAGAACCTATCGCGTTGGACCAGCTGGAAGGAGCGCTACGAGCGACGCCGAATTCCTCAGGCCAGGGGTTCCTACATGTGGAAGGTGCCGCATTTAAAGGCTCTGGCTCCTCAGGCTAAGCAAGAGCTCGCGGAATTACTCACTACATGCGAGCAGACCTTATCATGGCCCCAGCAGTGGTTGCACATTTGGTATGAGTTACTGCGCAAAGGCTCCAACTTGAAAGCTGGCGACGAGAGGCCCACCGGCCTGATGCCGCTCCCAGTGCGACTGCGGGGGCGTGTGCGACAGCCAGGCATGGCAGAATGGAGCAGTGCAAAGGCGGCCTTTTGGGGCGCGGCGGTGGCCAAGTCGTTGGCGCCCCAGGCAGCTCTGTTCAGTTTGGCCATGGACGAGAGCAGCGCGTGGGGTGGTACCCCAGCATGGGGATCCATGTACCTGGACATCAAAAAGTTCTACGACTCGATCAGCATCCCGCTTCTGATAGACCGAGCCTTGAAGTTAGACTTCCCACCAGTGGAACTTTACCTCAAGTGCGTGATCTACCTCTCCCCGCGTGCAGTGCGCGCGGCCGGCGCCTTTGCGACGTCTGTCATACCTGGGAACAGTATAGTCCCAGGCTGTAATGGCGCGAACAATGGAGCGACGGCTTTCTTGCATGAGGTTTTGGATCGTGCTCGCAGTCGACTTCCACGCGCTCTTCCACGACAGTATGTGGGCGATGTATGGCGATGTCACTGCTCGGTCAGACGGCTCGCACAAGCAGGCGAATCATGAGCTCACCACGCGCGCCGTTGAGCTCATCAAGGGATGCGTCGAGAGCAAGCTGGAGATGTCAGATAAGTCGGCAGTCGCCCGAGCATAGAGAAAGCAGTGTCACGGGTAGCTCTTCAGCTAGGTGCAACAGCACGGAGTGCAGACTGCGCGCGCGACCTTGGCATCGACGCGGCTCGAGGACGGCGAAGGCGAACAACCGTTGCGCAGGCAAGACGCAAAGCAGCTACAGTTAGGGTACGACGAGGCCGTGTTTTCAGAGGCACTGGCAAGCGTCGACGAAAATGGGCTACTCTGAACCTGGCCAACGCCAGGGCGAAGTCATCTTATGATGTGCCAGCCCTCGGTCAGTCGCCGAGCGCAGCGCGACGCGCTCGTGCCGAAGCAGCCGACATGCTGGGCTACACTACAGGAGGCCGAAGTACCTCCATGGTCATGCTGCTCTACTGCTTTCAGAAGGACCCCAAAGCAGTGGGACTTAGGCGCCAAGTGTCCGAGTGGATCAAGTTTTGGAAAAGAGCCCCAGAGTACCACGACAAGCTTCGAGCTGGATGGCATGCGGTTGTTCAACGCCTACAGAAAGCACGACCCCGTGGACGGTCGAATGTGGCAACTGGACCAATGACAGCACTGACCCAAGGCTTGTCAGAGCTGGGATGGCAGCCCAGCGAACCAGACACTTGGACGGATTCAAAGCAGAACGTTTGGCGAATGACGGATACGTGCAGCGAGCCCCTCGCGTCCGCCACCTCCAGCGACCAGAAGGCCAACGAGACGGAGTTGAGGACTGTACCAGGTGGGTGCACTGTGCCAGCTGGGTGTCCTGTGCCAGCTGGGTGTCCTGTGCCAGCTGGGTGTCCTGAACCAGCTGGGCGTCCTGTGCCAGCTGGCTGTCCTGTGCCAGCTGGGCGCCCTGTGCCAGCTGGGCGTCCCGTGCCAACGTCGAGCATCAACTCCAGCAAGCAGCAGAGAGAGGTGTCAGAGCAGGCCGAACTCATTGGTATTCAAAAAAAGTCTGAAAGTCCTGGGGCTGCTCTAGACAGCACCCCAGGTTCATGCGTCGCCACGCCTGCTAGACGCGGTCAGGAACAACCCTCAGCCATGGGACTACCACCAGCGCCTCCAGACTAACAGAGAGCGCAGGCTGCCCAGGACTACGCGGACATGAGAGCAGACCTACGAGATTGGGCAGCGGCATGGTTCGACCTCCGCCTCAGCTACGCCAGAGATGATAGTAGCTGGAAGGAGTGGTGCGAGGCTTTTCTCTCAACAATGCTGAATGGAGGGGGCGCTGAACCACTGGGCAGATTACTGCGCGCTTGGTTTCCGAACAGATCCCTAGCCTCCATCATCCAGGAGCTTTCTGGCAGCGCTTGGAGACAGTCAGAAAGGCGCCGCGATGCTTCCATCGACAGACTGGCAGCATCTGGAGCCCCACAACGACAGCGTCTTGAGCACAGGCACTGGAGAATGTTGGCAGAAATCAGGGCTATGCCCAGGAGGCTCTCGGGCACGAACGCGCCCGACGCACGACGGCCTCCAGCCCCGCGTCAACCAGACAGCGACGACGACCAGGCCGCGAACGTGCACGACCACCTCATCGCTCCGCTTGCACCGGTGGCTCAACCTGAAGCAGCGTCACTTCGACAAGTACCAGATCGCCAGGCTGCAGATCGCCAACCACAGCCGGTTGCGACCAACATGGGCGGCGACCACGAACCCTTCGAGGACGTGGAGGAGGGCGCCAGGTGCATACAGTTATCGAATGGTGGTGTCTCTTCAATAGATACTCGTGGACACGATGCCGTCGTCGGAGCTGGGCGCTCTGTCATGTCTCAGGATGCTGCCAGCGGGACTGCTGCTCAACAGCTACGAGTTCGACAATAACAGCTACCTGCAGCAGGGGGCGCGTGCCACCAGTCAGACGCCACCACCCAGCTCATGGCCCTCATCGCTGCTGACGTCATCCAGGAGTTGTGGCAACAAGCAGCCAGTGATCGGCATGGAGGTCAGTAGGGGTCCATGCCAGATCTTACGACGGCTCTGAGAACGCTCCAGAGGATGCGAGGAACGGGTTCCCCGTCGAAAAGCTGGTGCGTTTGAAACAGTTTGTGAAATACAATTTTGACTGAAGAACGCTGCCGCGCTGAAGGCCACGAAGGCAGCGGTGCATGTACTCGATGCACGACGGGTCAGAAACAGACGATGGCCCACCGAGTCGGGAGTTGCCCTTGCACGTGCGCTCAAGATCACCGTTGGATCCGCCAGAGCGCCAAGCTATGTGATGAAGCAGTTCGGGACATCACCAATGGGGCCAACTTGGGGTTGTGGCTAAGAGGGCTGCTACCACCCACGTGGAACACTGCGCCGCCTCCTCCTGCATGGGGCACACCTCGCCTGCCGTTCTACATCGACTGGGACGGGCCGATTGCATCGCTCGACGGCACGGTGCGCCTCGAGAACCGCGTCGAGTGCAAGCTGGCCTTCTTGGACGGCTCGGTGTCGAGCAGCGACGCGCGCGCTGCCTGTGCGGGCTGGGGCGTCTACCTTGTCCAGGCCGCAGCTTGCGTTGAAAAAGATGGCCCGGGGCCCCCTTCGGCCAGGAGCGTGCGGGGGAATCGACGGAGCCCATGCGGTCCCGTGCGCTGAGCTTGCGGCCCTCTGGTGGGCTTTGGAACTAACCAAGGGGCTTGCTCTACACCGACAGCCAGATCGTGTACGACGGCAGGCACGGCTTCTCGGAGATGTCGGGGGAGCTCGTAGGCTGGTGGAATCGAGTGTTCTCTGAAGCCCAAGGTCAACGGGTGATGCTCAGTAAGTGGAAGTCGCACCTTGATAAAGTGTCGCTAGCCTCCTTGGTCCAAACCCCATGTGTAACGCGAGGCAACGACCTTGCTGATACATTCGCCCAGATAGGAGTAGAACGTGTCTCGGACAAGATCGACCCAGAGGTCAGAGATCTTGCGCGCGTGGAATTCAAAGCGTGGTTGGTCCAGAGGATGCTAGCTATCGTAAATGCGGCTGCTGCTTGTGCAGACTATGAGCGCAACAACCGCCCGCGCAGGGTCCACCGTACGCCCGCAGCCTGGCGCGTAAGGAAGGAGCTCGAGGAATCGTTGGGGCACCAGCTTTCCAAGGTTGGCTCCTCCTGGGTGTGTAGCCACTGCCAGAGTGGCCCAGGGAAGTTTTCGGTCTGAGATTGGCTCCGTAACGGCAAGCGCCGTGGACCCGAGTACCATCGAGTAGAGTCTCAAGGTGGGCCTGTCCGCCTCCCCCCTCGGTTCAGAATCGGGGATAAGGGGGCCCATGAATCTCACAATGCAGCCATTCTGTATGGCCAGATTTTCTGCTGGAGGTGTGAGCGCCTCGGTTCCAAGACCCCCTCGGGCGGAAGGCTCGGGGTGGGGATCGTTGGTAAGTGTAATGGGCACCCCACCTCATCAGGGTAAGAGGCCTTGCATAAAATTCAGCGTTGGGAGCTCCCCTCAAAGAGGGGTAAGGCTGTGTGGCCTGACGGCACCCCCAACGTCCCCAGACAGAGACAGCGCACAGCGCGCCGACAGGGGTAGTTCTCTGTCCCCTATCGCCAGGTGCTCATCGGTGAGATTTGTTGCCTGGTTGTGGCGACGGGCGATCCCCCCAGTACCCCGCCCTCTCTTCTCGGGGCCTGGCAGTGGCCGAAAAGAGAAGTTCCTGATCGACGACGCCAACGATCCACCGAGCTGTGTCGGCGACCGCCCAAACCGCGGGGCGAAAGGGGGCGGGGCACAGGGGGGAGGGGCGGAGGATGAGGCGATGCTTCTTGCTGGTTGTCGAATGCTTCACATAAGGACTCTGGGTGGTCTTGGCCGCCTGAGGAGGCTCAATGGGGGCCACGGGCGAGTGTGGATGAGGATCGGGTGCGGATGGCAAACGAGACACAAGGGAGGAGGAGGAGGAGGAGGAGGAGGAGGAGGAGGAGGAGGAGGGCCAGAAGAGACGGCGAGGAGGCTTAGGCGGATGAGGAGGAGGAGGAGGAGGAGGAGGAGGAGGAGGAGGAGGATGAAGAGGAGGAGGAGGAGGAGGAGGTGCATAGAACCGTGGGCAGAAGAGCAGGCGGAGGCGGTGGCGTCGTCGGAGGGGGAGCAGGAGGAGCACGACCGTGCTGCAGGAGGAGAGGCAGCAGCAGGAGGCAAAGGAGGCGGAGGAGAGAGCCGCGTCCTCGGCTTTCTGCGGCGTCGGCGGTGGCGTCGTCGCCCGTGTCGGCGTCGACGGCGTTGCTTCCGAGCGCGGCTCGGCGATCGCCCGGCGTCTGGCGGCTCCCGGCGTTTGGCGGCGCCGCGCGGCACAGGTGGCTGCAGCAGTTGCGGGCCCAGGCCAACAAGAGTCTGGACGCCCTGGCCAAGGACAGCTCTTTTCGCGGACAGGAGGAGGATGGAGGATGAGGACGAAGAGGACGGTATGGAGGGAGGGAGGGAAGGAGAAGGAAACGGAGGAGGAGGAGGAGGAGGAGGAGGAGGAGGAGGAGGAGGAGGAGGAGGGGAGAGGGGAGAGGGGGAGGGAGAGGTGGGAAAGGAGAGGAGACGGGGTACGGAAGATAATGATACGGGATAGTCAGGGACAGGAGGAGAAGTAGGAGTAGGAGCAGGAGGTTTTGGTCAAAATTAGCCAGGTCGAGTGAGTCAGAGGGCCCCGCCTACACCCGCCCTCCTTCCCATAACTGAAGAACCAATTGGGGCACTACCTGATATGTTGTTGGAGCGCGCTCCCACCTCGCAAACAAAAAGGAACTCGCGGGCGGTCCCGCTTCCAACGACTTGCCGAAGAGAAAATTACGCGGGGCGCTCAGGCGCTGGCGCGGCGAAGACGAGGCACGAATTGCGCGGCGTTTGGGCGATGTCGGCATGTCGCCCGCTCTCGCGCGGCCCCGCTGCCGCTGTCGCTCTCGTGCGCTTCTGCGAACGAGCCATGCGCCGCGCCCGCGCTGGAACGCCACGCCCGAGCCAAATGCTCACGGAACCCGGGGCGAGGGAGACGAGTCGCTTGCTCGCGGGGCTCCCCCCCCCAACACTGGAGAGTGACAGACACGCGCCTCGTCGAGGCAGGCATGCCACTTTCAGGCGAAGTCTGCGAGATGCCGAGGCGAGAGGGACATGTCCGTCCGCTCGCGCGTCAACAAACAAAGATGCGTGCGACAAATGCCCGCCGCGCCTGAGCATGAACTCAGTTCACTAGAGAAACGGGCGCGGCGCCGATGCGCGAGAGCGACATTTCGGCCTTTGGCGCGGGATGGTCGCCCAGTCCCGTTCCTGCGACGCAATGTGTAACATGGGCGACGTCATGTCCGTTTCGGACGAACAGCGTTGACGCTGAATGGTTTATTCAACACGATGGCAAGGGCCCAGATTTGGTCGCTATCGGCCAGCTGGGTGGCAGAGTAGGAGTATATAGTTCCCCAATCAGAGCTTGCCTCTGTGAGGGGTCCTATCGGATTCTTATGGTTAGGTGAGGTGCGGCGCCGATTTGGTGGCCGGCGGCTGGGTGACCGGGTGCCCGGGGGTGCCCGGGGGTGCCCGGTGTCAGGAGGTGCCCCGGTGTGCCCGGGTGCCCTGGGGTGCCCGGTTGCTCTATCGCTTTATAGCCCTATAGTTCTATAGCCCTATAGCCCATTCGCTCCATAGCCCTATAGCCCTATAGCCCTATGGCCCTATAGCCCTAGTAGCCCTATAGCCCTAATAGCCCTAATAGCCCTATAGCCCTATAGCCCTATAGCCCATTCACCCCATAGCCCTATAACCCTATAGCCCTTATAGGCCTATCGCCCTATAGCCTTATTGCCTTGTAGCCCTATAGCCCTATGTTCCTATAGCCCTATAGCCCTATATAGCCCTATGGTCCTACAACCGTATAGCACCATAGCCCTACAGCCCTGAAAATATTATGATTGGGGCTTATCTCCGGTATCATAATAAGGAATAGGAATAATGAGGGGGGAGGATGATGAGGAGGAGCAGGAGGAGCAGGAGGATGGCGTAGTGCGAGAGGAAGAGGAGGAGGCGGCATGGCAAGGGGGTGGAGAGGAGGAACAGGAGGAGAAGGATGAGGATGAGAAGGAAGAGACGGAGCAGTAGAAGCAGCAGCAGGGGCGGGAGGACGAGGATTAGAGGAAAGAGCAGGAGGTGTGAGAGAGAGAGAGAAACAAACAACATATGTTTACATATATATATATATATATATATATACATATATATACACACTCAGAGAGAGAGAGAGAAACAGAGAGACAGAGAGGGAGAGAGACCGAGAGAGGAGAGAGAGAGAGAGAGAGAGAGAATCAGAGACATAGACAGACAGAGAGAGCGGGTTCGATGGGGCTTCAGGATGTTGCATCATCGGGAGCCTCTTGCAGGGCTCTTGGGGGCCACTTTGGGGCCTTTTTGGGATGCAGATTCCGGGCCCCTACGGAGGCCTCCTGGGGCCTCTCCCCAGAGGCCCCCTTGGAGTCTCTTGGGGGCCTGCTGGCTGTCTCGGGGGTCATTTCGAGGCGGAGGGTTGACATGTCAGTTCGTGCTTTCCCCCTTGCGGCCGTCTTGGGGCGAGCTTAGGGGCCTCGTGAACCATCTTGGAGCGCTGGTATCACGAAAAGGCGAGAACGCTCAAATCTTTCGAGAAACCTGAGGGGGCTCTTGAGGAGGCCTCTTGGAACCCTCTCGTGCCGACTTGAGGGCATCTTGGCTCGTCTTGGCGCCCTCTGTCTTCCGGAACAGCCGTGCAAGAGGCCCCACGTGGTCTGCAGGGAGCCCAAAGAAATTTGGCAATTGAGCCTCGGGCCCCTTGAAGAGTATTTACACTAATCCGCATGATGGTAAACTTTTGAGGGCCTGAAGACGCTCCACTTTGGCCGAGCATTTTCTTTGGGTGGAGGGCAAAGGGTGAAATCTGAAATGCCGTTTCGATGGATTTTCGAGGCTTGAATTTGCAAAAGGTGAATCACAAGGCGGATTGATTTCGAGGTGTCGAAGCCCATATGGATTTCCCCCTGAGCCCTCCACCCTAAGAATATGCTCAGTTTGGGCGCCTTCTTGCCTACCACGTAGCTTGCACCACATAGATTGCGAGAGACATAGGTTGCACCACATATCTCTCACCACGTTGCTTGCGCTGCACATGTTGCAGACGTGTAGCTTGCACTACATCTTTTTCACCACATCGCCTGAAATACATAGCCTTCATCACATAGCTGACAATACACAGTCAAGCTAGCACCATATAGTTTACACGACGTCGCTTGCATCACACGGTGTTCACCACATAGCATACACCATATAGCTAGTTCCACTAACATTATACCACATATATCGGACCACACAGATCTTACACTACGCATTTTGTTTACCACATGTACCACACTCCGATAATGCAATACCCGATGTTTGGGGTTGTACACTGGAAGGATCAAGCAGGAGGGAGGGGGTAGAGGAGGAGGAGGAGGAGGAGGAGGAGGAGGGATACCCCGATCAGGACGATGAGCCGACAGGGAAGGAGGATGGCATTAGGGGTGTTCGATGCCTTTCCAGGCAGCCCTGCCAAGAAGTCCGCGCGGAGCGCCAACAGTTTATATGTCTATGGCGCTTGTTCTTCTTCTACTCCTTCCCCCTTCGGCCCATCCGGGCGTCCAAGGCCTTTGCATCCGTACCGCGCATCCTCATGCTGCTGCGCCTCGTGTTCCCCCCTCCCTCTGCTCCCCGTCCGCCTCCTCTCCATCCCTTCTCTTCGTCCCTCCCCCTCCCCGTCTTAAGCTTCCCTAATCGCCCGCCGTCCCCGTGGTCCTGGGGCCGCTTTTTTGGCCCCGCTGGCCCGCAGTGCGGCGCCTCGGGGTTCTGTCGTCCAAAATCTGGTCGCAGATGCAGCCTGGCGACCGAGCTGTGTGTGACCTGTTCTCCGCTTCCATGGTAGATGTCTGCTGTAACGTCAGCCCAAGCTAATACTCACATCTAGCTGCTAGCCGTTTCGAGCGTTTACCTTTTTAACCCTCCTTCCCGTTCCTACCGGTCCGGCTGAGTTCGATTATGATTGACCATCCCCATTTCCCTCCTCACGTTGTAGCCGCCGCCACGGCGCCGTGCCTTTATCTTCGTCCACCTCCCTGCCCAGGCGCGGTCCTTCCTCCCTCTTGTCCACCACCCCAGGCTAGAGCGCAGGTGCACCGCGATTTGGCGGGGACGCGACATACAGGGCCCGAAGGAGAGTCTCGACCCATCATGCACGCTTTCTTGAAGCCCAGGCAAATGTTGCGAAGCTGCTCGGCCTCCATGAGTCTGGAGCTTTCACGGGTGGAGTTTTCTGCCGGAGAAATTGTCAATGTTATGGGGAGACAATATCTAGGGCTCCCTGACGGTAAGCTAGAGAGCCTTCGTGCTGCAGCAGTTCGAGCGGAGGCCAGATTGCTCAGATGATTCTCGCTGGGTCTGGCGTCGATGTGTACTCGTTGGGGTTGGTCTCGGGATCCTGCGGTCAAAGTCTTAGCTGAGGCGATCAAAACGCATGTTCACATGATTCGCGATGGTCGCATGAGCGGTCGCATCTTGCAGGTTCTGTGTGCCAAGTCCTCGGCATTGGCTCAACGGCCGAAGCCTTGGCCCCAGATCAAGGATTCGATCTCGGTCCTGGTGTTGACCGTTTCCAGGATTGGGTTCTGAGTCGATGGGCCGTTCGCCCTTCGGGAGTCCTCGGGGCAGACCTGGGACCTGCGGCAAGTTTCGTCTGCTTTCGTTGCATGCGGGGCTAGGTTTGCTGCTCGGGGATCGTCTGACTTTGCGGCCCTAGGCCAGGTCTCTGTTGCCGACCGCTGAACGATCAACGAGCTGCTCCATCAAACACAGTTTGATGAGTCGGACGGGGGGACGGTGGGGATTGGGGGTTGCTTGAGGGTGCAGGGAGCAGCGCGCGCTTCGCGGACTCCTCATGGGCTCCCAGTGGTACCAACACAGGCTGCGCCCGCATGACGCGGATCCCTCGTCGGCGTGATTAGTTCGTGGCGAACATTGTACTTTGTTCCACCTTCACTTCCGCTGCCCGTCGCGCCAGGAGTAGCGCATGGATAACTTGCCCCGCTGTGTCGAAATTGCTGCCTCTGGAGTGGCTGCCTGTTCCACTGACGGCCCGTGACGATGAGGATTGTGCAGTTCCCATGGCGTCTACACTGTGCGCAGGCATCTACACTCTGTACAGCGACTGTAAGGGCACCAGGGTCTGTTGCCAGTCCACGTCCCATGACCTCAGCTCAGGCAGGCCCTCGAGCACATGTGTGGCAGCAAGCGTGGGGTCCGTTAGGTTACGTTCGAAGCGGATGCGTTTAACAAGGACACGGGGCATGCGCCGATGCGCGATGTCAGGGGTGGCCGCCTCTCGGAGTTTGAGCGCACAGGCAAGCATAGCTCAGATCGTCTGGCCAAGCAGGGCGCGAACCTGGCCAGGCGCATGGACGAGGCGTTTCAGACTCGCTAGTGCGGTCTGGGAAAATTAGCACAGCGAGTTTCCTCTGCATCGGGCGCTTAGGCTGGGCACTGCGAGGTCTCCAGGGGCCTGGGCGGTTGAGCGTGTCGGTTCTCGTTTTCTTCTGGGTGGTCCACGACCACAGCCTGAAAGGCCCAGAGTTGCGAGAACCCCTCAGTTTTCGGAGGCCGCCGACTGCCTCCAGGCGTTCGTGCTGAACGAAGATGAGGCTCGACAGCTGAGTAGCGAGTTTCGTGAGCGCGTCTCCGAAAGTCCTGAAGGGTACGCAGATCTTTTCACCTAAGGGGGCCCTGTCACTGGCCTGCAGGGTGGCCAGTGCCAGACACCCTGCAGTGACAAAAAGGTTCACTCCACCGGCCCCCCTTGGGCTTTTGGTTTCACTGTCGGACTCTCTCTCTCTCTCTCTCTCTATCTCTCACTGTTCCCTTCGGCGGCGTGCAATCCTTCCTCTCTCTCTCTCTCTCTCTCTCTCTCTCCCCCCCTTCTGCCCCTTCAGTCCTTACCCGTCTCAGGGAGGCCCAGGATGAGCATAAATCGCTCCAGAGCGTTTCGGAAAGCGCTGGACGACCCCGCGGCGCCCGATACATTTTCCAGACTCGCCAATTTTTAGCGCCTCCCTGAGTAATCTCATCCGGATTTGTCCCCTTCCTGTCTCCGCTTCAGTCCACGATCCCTCGGCCCCGCCCCATGCAGTCGGGAATTTTGGCTTACAGTCGGGGCCCTGAAGAAGGAACCCTTTTCGTTGGGGAGGGGTTCAAAGTGTTCCTTGATGGTTTCACAGTTTCCCTTGGGTTTTCCTTAGGTTTTCGATGGGAAATCGAAGTTTAACTTATGGAAAAAAGTGGCCTCGTTCCTTATTTAGCGTTTTTTAGGTCAACGCCCCCACCGTAGCGTGTCGCGCCGCCGACTCTTGCCCACCACGCTCTGGCGCGACACGGCGTCCCCACCAGGGCCGCCGCGGCGGCATGCTGAGCAGAAGTGCCTGACCGCACCCCCGCACGCGTTGATCCCCACGCTTTGGCGAACGTATCGCGCCAGACCTACAGTCGGGGCGCTGAAGAAGGACCCTTTTTCGCTGGGGAGGGGCTCGGTGTTCCTTGATTGTTTCAAAGTTTGCCTCGGGTTTTCCTGGGGTTTCCCATAGGAAATCGATGTTGAACTTATGGGAAAAAGGGGCCTCGTTCCTTCTTTTGGGTTCCTTAGGTCAATGCCTCGACTGTACCCCCTCACGTGTTGGTCCCCACGCTTTGGCGGACGCATCGCGCCAGACATACGTGTCCAGTGGATGTGCTGATCTCCACGTCAAGATGCTACGGGCCGCGTGTTGCGTGCTGCATATCGGGGCGGCCAAGCCCCCCCCCTTCTCTCGAGGGAGGGCGGGGGTGGGGGGACGGAACTCTGGTCACGCTCGTGCGCGAGACGCGCCGGCCAGGAGCCTGCCACGGGGGCGAAGCGCGTGGAGGCCGGCGCTTCTGCGGCCATTCAACGTGTGTGTGTGCGCGCGTGTGTGTGGTGCCGCCGGCACTGCGCCTCGTCCTGTCCCGCCTGCACTGTAGATACTGGCCTTCCGTCTCCTTGTTTTTTTCTCCCGTCTTTCCCCCCGCATGCCTGCCAGGGGCTTGCGTATGGCACGGTTGATCCCCAGTGGGCGGATCCTTATCCTGGGTTTCTGAGGGGGCCGGCCGCTTCGGCTCTTCGACCTTCTACGCGCGAGGCCCCAACGCTAAACAATGTGTTTGTCTGTGTGTAGTTGTTTGGTGTGCGCATGTATGTGCATGTGTGTGCATGCGTGTGCATGTGTGTGTGTGCATGTGTGTGCGTGTGTGCGTGTGCGTGTGCGTGTGCGTGCGTGTGTGTGTGTGTGTGTTTGTGTGCGTGTGTTCTTGCGTGCGTGCGTGCATGCGTGAATGCGTGCGTGCGTGCGTGCGTGCGTGCGTGTCTCCTTCTCTGGGGGGGGGGCCGACTCCGGCAGCGGGCCGGGCTCGGCGTGATGCCCTGTGGCTTTTGGGCGGGCTCCTGGGGGCCTCTCGTCTGGAGTCGGAGCGACGGCCTCGACCCCAGACCTCCAACGCGTTGAATCCATATAATCGGAAACTGGAGCATATACATTACCAGTGGCGGGCTTTGTTACAATCCCACGACTTTTTGAGGGTCGGGGACGCCGTCGGGGTGGTGTGGTGTATACTTCTCCCCCGTTTTCCCAGGGAAACAACGAAACATGTATACACCAGGATCCCGCATACAACAGGATCCGCGTTCCTGTGCGAATTTCAGCGCAAGGTCGGAAAAAGCGTCGGTGTACAGAGCTCGTTTCCCTATATAAGCGAAGTTCTATCGCCCGTTTCGGCCTCCAGGGGCCCTCGCCGGGCCCCACGGCCGCTAAGGGACGACTCGAGACGAACATCCGGCCTCGCACGAGGAAAGGGTCTGGATTCGGGGGGGCCGCAGTTCTTCAGAACTCAGGACCCAGGCCCCCCACGTCGTGATTCTCTGATAGCGTCGACTCCGGCAGATCTCCCCCCGTGACCTGGTTTTATCATGCCGAGCCTTCCATTCGACAGTCCCCAGGCCTGGTAGAATGGCCCCGAGCGGGCGAACATAGCGACGAGCCTTCCGTCGGGATGTTTTCATGGATCGAGAAGGGATTTGGGCAACCGGTTATTCGGGAGAACTTCCCTTCCTCCAGATCCGCCCTACTTTGGCTTTTTTCCAACTGAAAGTTGCGTCGGACATCCACCTATAAGGAGCCGAACAAGTAGGGCGGAAATTTCTGCACCCAACATTAAATAGTGCGAAAATCCACAGAAGTAGGGCGGAAACAACAACAGAAAAGTAGGGCGGAAATTGGCATCAGCGGGGCTTGAAAAGTAAGGCGGAAATTCCAAGCCCTACTTACGAATTTCCCCAAAGTAGGGCGGATCCGGAGTCAGGGTTCTGCTTTTGCCAGCCTCCGGCCGGCGGACCCGCCCCCCCCCGTCCCTCAAGCAGTGGCGAAGCGTCCTGGCTCGCCTGTAGCCCGACCAAACACTGTTCTAAGAGCCCTGTGTGGTTTCCACGCAATGTTCTTCGAACATTGCTGGCGGAGTCTGTCTTGTTTGAACACATCGGGATTATGTTCTAAGTGCAGCTGTTGGTTCTTATAACATTGTGGGAATCTAGGAACATTTCGTGGTAGGACTATATGAATGCCAGGACGGTCAGTCCCTGCTCAAGTGTTCGCAGAAATCACGACGTTGAAGTTCTGGGGATCCGGGCGCAACAAGGAACCGCAACCATAACGAAGTGGATTTTTCAGGATGACCCCTCGGAAGAGAGCCCACCGACCTCGGCATGAGCGCGTTGGTTGTGGAAGTGGTCGATTTGGCCGTTCTGGGACGCCACATCGACCACAACCAGTACAAAGCTGGTTTATGAGGTGTTCCGACAGTGCTCGGCGTGCGCACGACATCCCCCAGGGTGTTTCCTCGAGGTGGCTGTGGTCACGTGCTGTCCCAGCAGGGGGGCACCCGTGCCCATGGAGCCGCTTCGAGTTAGCTTTCGGACACTGTAGCATACACATTACCAGTGGCGGGGTGGTTTTCAATCCCAGGATTTTTTTGAGAGGTCGAGGGCGACGTCGGGGCGGTGTGGTGTATACTTTTTCCCCGTTGTCCAGGGGGAAAACGAAGCATGTATACAGCAGGATCCCATATACGGCAGGATCCGTTTTCCTGTGCGAGTTTCAGTGCGGGGCCGGAAAAAGCGTCGGTGTATAGAGTTCGGTTCCTTACTCTTGAGGGAAAGGGGACCATGACCGAGACTGAGCGCGGAGACGTTGGGGAGATCTTGGCCACGTCTGGGGGCGTCGGATTCCTGAGACTTCGCCGTCGCGCTTTCTATCCTCGTCTACCTATGGCCCTCGTGCGCCCCCCCCCCCCCCCCTCGCGGAGCCCCCGCGGCCGGGCGCTGCTTGTTCGGCGTGTTCCAGAGTTGCAGGGGGGCGGGGGGTGTTTGACGGGGCTGGGATTGAGTCGGGCTTGTCCCTCTACAGGCGGAATGTTCAATAATAGTCAAAAGTGAGTCAGGTGACGATTGTTCGATAATTTCTGATTCTTCTTGAATCTGTTTTCACTGTTCCATTTTTCAAGATCTGCCTGTAGGAGGACATGCACGACTTCAGACCAGGGCGAGGAGAAATCCCCTGCAGAGCGCTCCAGGACGCTCTCGGAGCGTTCTGGTGCGCTCTGAGAAGGCCGCACCGCCCGGGGCATCCCCCAGACCCGCCGGATCCCAGAGGTTTTCGATTCGTCCCCACCCGCATTAGCCCTCGACCTGGATTTGTCTTAGCTCGGGGGCGCGGCGGCGGCGGGCGTCGTCTCGGCGACGAGGGCGATGCAGGAGGTCCATGGAAAGGTCACGGCGTAGGGTTTCAGCGAATCCTGGGGCCTCCGGGGGGCTCTCTCCCAACCCCCGGGGCAGTCAACAACAAAGGCTCGGGATGAAAACCCAGTCCTGGGGAACGGGTCGAGGCCTCAGAACGAGGGCGGAGGAAGAGGAGGAGGAGGAGGAGGAGGAGGAGGAGGAGGAGGAGGAGGGCGGAGGGCGGAGGAGGAGGAGGAGGAGGAGGAAGAGGAGGAGGTGGAGGAGGAGGAGGCGGCGCAGTCGAAGAAGAACAATGATTAGCACAAACATGATTCGTTTTGGGTGCCCGAGCGGATTTCTTGGCTCGGCCCGTGGGCCCCCTGGCAGCCAGCGCCTCCGGCGCCGCCCCATAGCGCGCCCCGCGCGCCAGGGGGGGGGGGGGGCCCAGCTCCGATCCAATAGATTTGCGCGGAGCTCCTCCTCCTCCTCCTCCTCCTCCTCCTCCTCCTCCTCCTCCTCCCCTCCTCCTCCTCCTCCTCCTCCTCCTTCCTCCCCCCCCCCTCCTCCCCCTCCTCCTCCTCCTCCTCCTCCTCCTCCTCCTCTCCTCCTCCTCCTCCTCCTCCTCCTCCTCTCCTCCCTCCTCCCCCTCCTCCCCCTCCTCCTCCTCCTCCTCCTCCTCCTCCTGCTGAAACATATCCCTATCCCTATGTTTCACATCACCTCACCTCGATGCCGATCTTAAGGATCCCCTCGGTTTCTGAGGGCCTATCCCTGAGATTGTCCTCGCCTTTTGCTCGCCCATCTTAGGGATAGGGATAAGTTCGAGGCTGGCTGTATGGTGGTCTTCCTCGGAGCCTTCCTCTCAGGAGGCAGACCAGAGATGGTCGCCGGTCGAGCTGCTCGGATATATCGAGGAGGTCTCCCCGCCACGGCCAGAGCCGCCTCGAAATGAATCCATCGTTTGAGATTGGGCGCATGCCTGGAGAGGTCCCGGGGCCGATTCCAGGGGAACAAAAAGGGACACAAACGTTAAAAACTTGAAGGTCCGCGCGGATTTCTCGGATCGGCGCTGGACCCCCCTCCCTTGCGCGCGGAGCGCGCCAGGGGCGGCGCCGGAGGCGCCGCCGGGGGTTCCAGCGCCGATCCTGATTCCTGAGCGGATGAGGACGGGGAGGAGAGGATGATTGCTGGATGCCCAGGTCGCGTGGTGGGACCAACCCTGAAGGCTCCCGTGACAAACTATGTTACGGACTTTTGCAGGCGAATTCCTCGAGCTCATTGGAGGAACAAGCAGGCCTCCCAGTCGAGCACGCCTGTTGTTGAGCGTTGTGCACTGGGGAAGCGCACTGGATGGGGCGCATCATCAACATCAGCATCACCATGATGATGATGATGATGATGATGATGATGATGATGATGATGATGATGACGATGATGATGATGATGATCATCATCATCATCATCATCACAGTAACCATCACCACCATCATCAGCAGTATCAACATCAACAGTACCATCACCACCATCACCATGACCATCATCATCATCAGCAGTATCATCATCATCATCACCATCATCATCATCATCATCGTCGTCGTCGTCGTCATTATCATCATCATCATCAACATGATTATCAGCATCAGCATCATCATCGCCGGTACGATCTGACGACTAGATTATCCTCCCTCCCACTCATTGAGTCCTACTTCTTGTCAGGCTGAATGTAGCATGTGCGCTGGTTTACCCGCGGTCGAAATCCATCTTACTCTGCCTTAGCCCCGCCTGGTCCAGCTTGATCCCAGCGAGATGTCTTACGACTCGGTTTACGTTGGCTCAAGTCGACCCATTCGCTCCATAACCAGGCATCATGTCAGGAACGTTTGCTTAGCGTGTCGCGCCTCAGGTTCTGGCCCATCACGCTTCAGCGCGACACGTTAACCTCTTCTTACTGCATAAGCGTCAACGTCCTGAGTTTCTCCCAGCATCCCGCCCAACGAAGCGGAGCAACACGCTGTCAGCTTGCAGGGCATAGCGTGTCGCCAGGGACGCCGCCACGACGCGCCAAGCAAAAGTTTCTGACCGCGATCCCGGCTTCTATGTGGCTTACCACTCGATTGTCTA